GATTGATAAATCAATTGATTCGACCCCCCCCCCTGAAAAGTAGAGCCTACCTGTACAGGGTTCCACTCCAACAGCTGATATAGTGTGTCCATGCTTGACTGCTTCAAGGCTCAAGAGAGGGTCAATGGACCTAAAGAGCAAGAGGATAAGACTCTGCGCATAAAAGACACTAGCGGTCTGCACCTCTACCGTGTACGCCCTAGTCACTCTTTCAGTGGTAGCGGAGCAGTGATCCTGGAAGACCCAGGTGAGCTCCTTTCCTAGGCATAGAATTGCTTGTGGGCAAACGGCCATGGATTGGATTGACGACTGGGAAGAGCCTGATGCGGATGTGGCTTATGAGCCAGCAGCCTACGTGAATAGGCATGTGAGAAGAGAACCAGCAGCAATAGCAATGACAACACAGGTCACTACAAAGGTGCCCCCATCTTATGATGGAAAGACTTCATGGTTTTCCTATGAGGATGCCATAGACGATTGGTGTGATATCACCGAGCTGGAAGATGAGAAGAGAGGACCAGCTTTGAGAAATAGATTAGAAGGAGAAGCAGCAGTATACAAACGTGTATTAGACAGAGATTCATTGAAGGCTAATGAGCCACCAGGAGCAGGAGTAGATTACTTCAAACGAGTACTACGACCATATTTCGTGAAAGGATCAACCAATGTATTCCTATACAGGTTTATGCAATTCGTGCGATTCAATCGAGGATCAGCCGACATGATGAAATGGATGACAAGATTCCAGATTTTACTCCAAAGGCTTATGAGCAGTTGGATGGACATGTTAGAACCAGTCACTCAAGCACATCCCCAAGTCCTTGCTCAGATGCAGGCAGATGCAGCATTGACTGGAGTAGCACCAACGGCAGAAAGGATTCAGGAAATCATGCAGAATGTCAATGGCAATATGAGAATTCTTCATCAGAATGATTTTCCTTTAGGAGAGAATCTCATTGCCCTACTCATGCTGTCCCTTGCAGATTTGTCTCAGGACCAGCGAAACACTTTGACTTCGTTGATGACTCATCGTGGCAGGTACCTGCAGCAATACACCACAACAGAGTTGAGGACAGTGTTCATCGAGATGTTCTGCACGACAAAGACTTCAGTAGACAATCCATTGATGCAGCCGACAGGTGCTGGAGGTAGAAGATCATTTCTCGTACTAGACGAAGGAGAAATCGATGGTACATTTGGCTATTGGGCCGAAGATGAAGAAGATGGAACTGAAGGATTTCTAGATGCCCTGGACGATGTCTTCTGGGTATATGATGATCAAAACTTCTCATGGTTCCAAAGGAGAGTCCAAGGAAGAAGAGCCAGAAAAGGCAAAGGAATTTGGAAGAAGAAAAGGAAAAGGAAAAGGAAGATCAGGCCGCAGATTCTTCAGACCTCGTGGAAAAGGAAAAGGAAAGAGACGAGGTAAAGGCCATTTTGCTGATGAGCAACAGACAACATATCCAGAAGAGTACTTTGAAGAGAATCCTTATGAGGACACTTGGGAGTCAAACCAAGGAGCATATGATGCTATTCTTGCCGAAGATATGAATGACTATCTTCAAGGAGAATATGATGATGCCAATGACTTTTGGCAACAGCTTGAAGAAGCGTGGTTTTCCCACAAAGGAAAAGGAAAAGGCAAGAGAAAAGGCAAGAAAGGAAAAGGAAAGATAAAGGAGATGGCAAACAAGATGCAAACTATGCAAATCAACAACAGCCACGTTCTTTACCTGCACCTTCAAGAACTTCACAAGCATCAGGAGGTCAACAAGGTTTCTTTGCACATTGTGTGACAGCAGCAGCTGAAGTCCATGACAGTGAGGTGGACTTGCTGTCAGGCATGATGACCTCATGCCAAGATGAAGCTGACTGCGTGGTCAACAATGGTGAGATGATCTTCGATGACATGAGTGCCCCTGTGAGGTACTCTTTGTCAAAGGAGATGCTCACAAAGGCTCCTGATGGCTTTGCGCTTATGAGCGCTGATGGCTTTGCGCTTATGAGCGCTGAGGAAGAAGTGAAGGAGATGCAGGCTATTTCATTTTTGACTGAGAATCGCTTCCCGCCAACTATTGCAATCCTGGACATTGGATGCACTAGAGCTATGGGATCAAGGCGAGCAGTCGACCATTTTTGCAACTATGTCGAAAATCACCCAGATTGTGGATTATGGTACTCTTTTGAGTCTACCAAGAGCAAGTTTTACTTTGCCAATTCCCAGAAGGCTACTTGCTCTCAGAAACTGGTGATTTATATGTATGATCGTGCATGGACGATCCACCATACAGAGTTCGACATAGTGGAAGAAGGAGAAGTCCCTTTGCTTATGAGCTTGCCACAGATGAGGAACTTAGGCTTTGAACTCAGGCTGACACCTCAACATGCTTATCTGACATCGGTGCCTCTTGGTATCAAATTTTTGGAGTTGAAGGTTGCAGCCAGTACTCATCTTGTGTTGGACTTCCAAGATATTGCATGGTATCTGTCTGACGTGCGTTGGCAGACTCAGCGTGAGAAGAGTTTTTACTCTCACCTCACTCACTATGAATATGGCCATATTTCTGTTGAACACAATAGTGATGATGGTGAAGCTGAGCATGCATATCCTGTGGTTGATTTCTGGGAAGTAGATGTTCACAAGAGAGAACTGATACGTCACCACAAGGATTACAGGAAAATTCTTTTCCCAGCAACTAAGTCCTGTCCTGTAGACACTGACTTGCTGGAAGACTTGCGACTGACAATCATCAAGAAGAAAGCAGGAGGAGAAGAAATCAAGAAGCAAGATGATTGGCGCAAGGCAAAATGGAAGGACCTACAAATTGGCTATGAATGGCGTGGCAGAACAATTTTTAAATTTAAGCCAGATGCCAAAATTCCAGATCTAAAGATCAGGAAGGCTGGCATTGAGCACCGTGGCATTGGTGATCCCGATGCAGTGGTGCGCTCCTCCTCAGAGAAGGTTCCCATTGCAAAGGACAGGGAACCAGGCTTCTCGTCAGAGAAGGAAGGTGCACCATCCAGTGCCGCGGAAAAGCCCGTGCCGCCAAGGTTTCGGTATACTTCCAAGGGTTTTGATCCATTTTGGAAAGGACACAAGTCAAAACCATCTGAGCCTCAGAATGATTTAAAAGGTGATGATCTTGAGGAGTATGCTCCCTCAGAACCACCTGAGAGGCCAGAAGGTGAACTTGTAGAAATTCCTAAAGCATCAAAAGGACCATCAAGTGATAAACATGAACCACTTGAACCAGGTGATGGCGCTCTTGAGCCTAGGCGGATTTCAATCCCATTACCTGGTAGTGAAGTTGTTGCAATGACACCGGCATATAGGAAGATGTTACAGAGACTGGAGGACAAGGTAGAGCTTTATAAGCTTCATGTGAAGCACTACCATATGAGTCCTACTCAGTTTCGTAGACGTGTTTCTATGTTGAAGCTTCCTGACTCTGTTTTAGAGAAGTATGAATCAGTTGTCAGGAACTGCCGTGTTTGTAACACTTCAGTGGCACCTCCGCCACGAGCCAGAGTCTCCGGTATTAGAGCTTCATGTTTTGGTGATGTTGTTTTTGCTGATCATTGTGAGGTTGAACTTCACAAGAACAAGTATATCATCTTACTTGTTCTTGATGGTGCCACAAATCTTCTCTGGGCTACGGCACAGAAAGACCTCATAGATCAAACCACCATCCAAGCATTGAGGCAATGGTCTGATGA